TTATATAGTATTTATAATCAAATTTAATAAATATAAAAATAAAAATACTTTAGTTATCACTATATAAACTTTTAATTCTTACTAAATATTATAAATTATACTTATAAGTAAAGTTATAACTTATATTTAGAGCTACAAATTGATATATAATACTATATATTAATTTTTAATCAAACTCAAACCAGATCTAAACTCATATAATAATTCAGTTTGAATTCAGTTCAAACTTTGAATCTTTTTTAAACTCAAGCCAAAGTCTGATTTAAGTTCAGTTTAGTTCAGTTCATAAGAATACTAATTGGAATTCATATTTAAAAAATATATATTTTAACACTTTGTATGAATATAGTTATTATTACTTATTTTATAAATATCTTTATCTATAAAAAGCACAAACCAGAGATAGTATATTGTATATTGTATTATATAATAAGCTATCTTTCAAAATAATTTATTTTCAGAAATATTCAATAATTGATATCAATTTTAATACTTTATTATATTATTGTATAATAAACTTTGATTAAATATTTTACTGAATTATTTATATTTAATATTATTGGATTACAAATATCTTATATTTTATTAGAATAATCTAATTACATGAGATGAGCAAATAAACAAGTGAGTAAATGAACAAATATAAAAATATTTTCTTATGTAAAAAGTAATAAGATAAATTTATTAATTACTGTAAATAAATTATATCAATTGAAATAGTTTTTAGTTTTAAATTTAATAAAGCTTATTTTTTTATTTATTAGATTGAATTTACCTGTACTACTAATAGTACAATGTATTATATTGTAACAGTAAACAAACTAAATTTTCTACTAATTAAAAAAAGCTAATCAAGTTTTAAATAATGATAAATAATTCTATTGATAAGACAAATCTATGATAATAATTGTAAATTTATCAGAATTATATGAGAGGCAAAATCTATATGTTAAAGTATAAGAATATAGCATCAGATAGTGAAAATGTGATAATTAATCAACATACAAAAAGAATTTATTAACAATAGATATTGCATTAAATTCTAGAAATACCATTCTGAAAGGAAAGCCAGAAAAGTTGAGAAAGTCAAGACAGTCATTATAATCATAAGTTAGATGCTCAAAATTATATAATAAGTGTTCAAATTCATCAATTATGAGTGTGAATGCTAATTGATATCAGGAAAATATAGAATAGGTTATAGTGAGAAGACCTATATAATACTAATAAGTCTATTAATTCCTTTTAGAACATTTTCTTCCAACTTTATTCTCTTCATCTTTAAAAATGAAACATATTTCACCAAATATCAAAGAAGGTGTCAAGATCTCTGTTTTAGACTCAATTTTGAATGAAAATATAGCTCATTCACTCTTAGGAGACTTATAGAAAATCAAGCAACTTTCTGTTATAGTTTATGAGTAACATCCAATAATAATCACTGGTTCATTAGTCTGGATGCACAACTAGAGTTAGAAATTGAGATCTCAACAGGTTGTATGAAGTTTACAGATATTTCTATAACTAATAATACAGATACAGATATTAATGAACCTGAAACAGACATTCAAAGTGAGTCTGAAACAGATATTTCAAGTGATAGTGAGCAAAGTGAAAACAATAAAGCAATAATTGTTAATAATACAAACAACTTGCTGTAAACTGATGAAATCATTACAATTGTTATTCCAGTTCTTTTAACAGTATTTATATAACAGAAGATCTTTAATGGATCTCTTCTTACAGTTATAAGAGGAAATAGTGGATCAAGTTGAGTTTATTATTAAGAAAGTTATATGTTATAATTATAATGGGTTCAAGATAGTTTTTATTAACAAAGCTTCTTTATTACTATACTTTTCACTATTGCTATCTCTGTCAGCGCTTTGCACATAGACTATACAAGTATATAATACAAGAATAACAATATTACATAGACTATACCAAGTCTATAATCAAAACTATACTAAAAATCAAAGGTTAATTATAAGATATATGATAAGTGAATCCATTATTAAGAACTTGTTAACTAATAACTTATATAAAACTTGCTTACTTTTACTATTAAGTGAAATGCTACTTATATATAAAATTGATTGTTGCAATGATCTCTAAATATCCATAACACTAAACAAGCAAAATCTCTATAGTTCTAAAGATCAATACTTTCAAATATTAACAGTTCAATATTTCTAATGATCAACTGTTCAAAATATCGAATGTTCAATATATCTATCACATTGATGTACAGTATATGTAAACAATAAGTCCAAAAATAATTAACCAATAAAATAAAAATAAATATTGTCCAATAAAATATACTATATGAAATGTCTAAAAAAAATGAATATAAAAATTGTCCAATAATATATAATTAACAAAATAAACTATAATAATACCAAATAATTATACAAAGGATAAATGAAAATGGTTGCTAGCAGAATCAAAACGATATTTTATTAATTATCACAAATTATTCAAGCAGAACAAATCAGATATTGAACATTCACTACAAGTTATCAAATCAACGGAAATAGAAAATATATTATTCAGTAATCATTCAGACTTAACTGCTGGACATTTTGAAATTGAAACAATATATAATAGAATAATGTGAAATTATTATTGGTTCCAGATGTATCATGATATTGAAGCTTATATTAAGGCATGTAATATCTGTCAACAGAAAGGATGGCTGTATAAAAATAATACTTTAACACCAATTATTGTAAAAGAATCATTCAAAAAAGTTTGAATTAATCTTGTAGGTCTCTTACCAGTCATCACCAATGGAAATTGATATATTGTAGTTGCCATAGACTATTTAACCAAATGAGCAGAAGCATGAGCAATCAAAAATGCATTAGCACAATCAATTATATCTTTTCTCTATGAAGATATTGTAATGAGATATGAATTTTCATGTAAATTATTAAATGATCGAGATACCACCTTTGTCAATGAAATTATCAAAGAACTTTTGAAAAAATATCAAATCAAATATTAATTATCTGCATCTTACCATCCTCAAACCAATGAACTCATTGAAAGACTAAATCGCACACTTTGCACTTTATTATTAAAGTTCGTTTAACTCTACAAGAAAGATTGGAATTATTATTTACTATTAGTTTTGTTTGCATATTGAATAATGAAGCAAGACACAACAAAATTTGAATCTTTTCAGTTAGTTTATGATCATCAAGTTATCACACTACTTGAATTACAACTCAAAGATCTGAATAATGAAAAAATATTAATGGAAAAAACCATCATCAAGAGATCATACAAAATCATCAATGAATTGGAAGTAATACATGAAACAACTCTTAGTAATATTCAAAAAGCACAAATCAAACAAAAAGAGCAATACGACAAAAAGAAAACACCAATCTCATTTCAAATTGGACAAAAAGTTTTGATAAAAAGAATGGAAACTCAAAATTGGTATCATGAAAAATTTGGCGAAAAATGAAAAGGACCCTTCTACATTCATAATATTTTTGATAAAAATGTATATAAACTTTGTATATTAGATGGAAAAGTATTAAAGAACCCTTACAATAGTGATTATCTAAAGTCATATGTCGAATTCAACAAATTGGAACCAGTCATCATAATCAATAACAATTAATTTGTGGAGCAAATCTCTTAAAGTCGAGAGCCCTGTCACCAATTCAATATCAACTATAATTTCATATAAAGAATACATGAACAAAAGATACAGTAACGATCAAAATTAGTCATAATGATATTTAGACTATGTAATTGGTTTGATAATATTCTACTTCTTTTTATTTTCTTTCTATTTTCTTCTTTTTCTTTCTCATATTACCTATCTTTCTATATTTATCTTATTGTTATCTTTATTTGAATATATTAATCACATCATTTTCTTGGCAAATTTCATCAT